GCGATGGTAACCCCAGTGGAGGTGGTGCAACATCAGCTGTACGACGAAGGTTACTCCAAATATCGCGTGGTCGTACTCCGCATGAATCCATTCTAGTAATAAATTCTTTCACTTCATCTGTTATCGGTATACGATGTTGTCCAGCGCATTGTTCCTCCCCCCTAAAGTGTTTTTTGTCGTTACAGTAGACACGCCACGCGGGTCTAGATGTACATTCCCAGTACTTCCACTGCACACCACACTGCATACCTCCATTCATATGTTCCTTGCTTGCACATGTCGGGCTGATACACTCCAGTCGTCTTTCAATCATAGCGTGGTCGGCGTTGCATATCTTACAGTCCATCTCACGCTTTACGTATGCACCGGAGCAGCAGAAATCTGAAGCTCGCAGCTTGATAAAGTCTGCGCTCGTTGCATGTTCCGCCAATAGTGCCCAGGAATGACGTGGCATCCTTCGGTTTTGCGCTCGGTGCTAGTAGGATAAGCACAGGTGCCAATGAGATGAATGCACGGCGTGCCGGGGGTCAACTGGAGTTAAAACAGTTTATGGCGAGCAACGGTAGAGCTGGTTGTAACACGACTGCGCCCGCTCCAACCAATCAAGCAAAGATGCACACTGCTGATGCTGGTTTACTCGACCGGTCGAGTTATTGTGCATGTGGTCGAGTTAACCTGCAAGCAGCTGATGCTGGTTTACTCGAACGGTCGAGTTCTTGTGCATGTGGTCGAGTTATTGTGCAAATGGTCGAGTTATTGTGCATGTGGTCGAGTTATTGTGCAAGTGTTCGAGTTAACCTGCAAGCAGCTGATGCTGGTTTACTCGACCGTTCGAGTTATTGTGCATGTGGTCGAGCTATTGTGCAAATGGTCGAGTTATTGTGCATGTGGTCGAGTTATTGTGCAAATGGTCGAGTTATTGTGCATGTGGTCGAGTTATTGTGCAAGTGGTCGAGTTAACCTGCAAGCAGCTGATGCTGGTTTACTCGACCGGTCGAGTTATTGTGCATGTGGTCGAGTTATTGTGCAAATGGTCGAGTTATTGTGCAAGTGGTCGAGTTAATCTGCAAGCAGCTGATGCTGGTTTACTCGACCGGTCGCGTTATTAATATTGTGACTTGGAATTGCCATTTGAAAAAAATATGCACGTTTTTGATGCTATTAAAAGTACGGTACATCGAAGGTGAGTCCGGCTTTGATGCGTACACATCTTTTTGTTAGTGCTGTTTTGCCGGAGCCCACAAATCTTTTGCTGGCGCCCCAAAGTGAAGAGATTTGTTTGCTGAAGCCGATTTGATTTTGCTGGCACCCCATCTTCTTTTGTTTTCACCCCAAAAGGTGTTTGTTCGCACCCCGGTCTCGTCGTGATGATGTCGCGCTTGCTTACAAAGACCAAGTGTCTATTGAAGAGCTGCTAAGCACGGCGCAGTGAATACGACGTGTACCATTGACTACTGCCACCGATCGAATAGTGGACTCTGCGTGCAGGAAATCAGGACCCATCATAACTAAGTTGACCGTAATTACCCGTACGAGTCTCTTGAGTGTCTGCAAAAAGGGAAATAGACGCTCCGTAAACATGCTCAAACAAATGTCCGTCTACCACGTTCTTCTACCAGCACTGGACCTAAAGACAAGGTAGTCGGAAGCGAACCCACTGATCTGGGTACATATACAAACGGAGCCCGGAAGAATTACCTGGAGTAGTGGCATGTCAATAGTTATTGGCCAATTTATGGCCAGTGTATACTGTATACTTACACAAATCGTTTCTATCCGCTCAACCCACTTCAAGATTGCCAGACCGGGAGGCATCGAGATGGCGCCGAGAGGGATGGATATCTGGTCCGTGGAGGGCATCGCAAGTACCATCTTCTTCTACTTGGACTTGTCCACATTCGATGCACTATCGCACTTCATCCAAGCAGTGCCTGAGCTCCGAACTTATCTAAGTGACGGAACATTATGGACCCAACTATCACAAGTGCATTTCGGAGGGCGTCGGTCCCCCAGACTGGCTGTAGAAGTGCTACCATACTAGAATCGAGACTGGAGTTGGACCAGTCGAGAACTGACGTGTGTCCAGTTGCAGGAGTTCCTGCAATCGCTAGACGATCGCAAACGCTTCGACGAGCTCGTGACTGTCTTGTCCGGCGACATCCAACACATTAAAGACATCGACGGACAGCTATTGGACGGGATCGCGTTCCCGACTAACCCTCATCTTACCAACCACCACGTCGGAGCAGCGGCGGTAGTATTTGCACGCGCAGGCCACGCACTCGATGGGTTCATCCGCGACCCATCCTTTCGAGGTGTGCGACCTGTTGGATCCGTTGTTGTAACACCAGATTTTGAGGCTGGAGTGAGCAAACTCATCCATTGTGTAGGCCCCAGTATCCACATGGAGAATTGCTACGAACTACTAAGTACTACCTATAGAAGAGCCATGGAAGCGATGCTGCGGGAAGGTCTTCAGTGCGTCATCGTGGCGTCCGTGTCTACGGGTAGTTTGGGGGTCCCACCTAAAGAAGGAGGTCTAGTGGCAATGCGGGCGATTTAAGAGTTTCTAGTCGTGAACGACTGGCGAGGAAAACTGGCAGTTGTGTGCAACGAGAAACACGTGCTACACGCGTTTCAAGCCGGGAAGAGTGCTGTGTTAGAAAGCTTCAACGTTATCCCGCCACTTCCTAACGACCGGTGGCTGCATTAAAATTAATATCGGCTGTAATGGCACCGCAAGACAAATTGATTTATTTTTACATTTAGCATATGTGAAAACACTAGAAATGACACTCGACTGGCATAGCGACGGATGAGGTTATAACTAAATACACCATTTCAGGTTCGTTCTCCCCACCGCAGGAGTTCGATACAACCACCCCAGAGCCGACTTGCACATAGGACCGGGCAAATCTCAGTTCAAAACACCCAATGTCTGAGTTCAATACACACAGGTGTCTCTTTGCCAATTACTGCGAAAGTACCAACTTTTGTCATTTCGAGACCATTCGAGAATTCAAAGGCATCCATCCATTCATCGCTTCGCCTCGCGCCCCTTTCGTTTTGGCAGAATAGGTAACTCTTACCCTGAAGACGTTCGTGCACGTGTCCTCGAGGCAGCGAAGGAGGGTGAGAACTGGCGATTGGTAGCAGCTCACAACGGCGTTGTGGTGGAGACTGCGCGGGCTCGGGTGGAATGGTCTCGAATTCTCGAATGTTAGTGAAATGACAAACTTTCGCAGTAATTGGCAAAGAGACACCTGTGTGTATTGAACTCAGGCATTGGGTGTTTTGAACTGAGATTTGCCCGGTCCTATGTGCAAGTCGGCTCTAGGGTGGTTGTATCGAACTCCTGCGGTGGGGAGAGCGAACCTGAAATGGTGTAGAACAAGACGAATCTTGCCACTCTGCCTTTTGTGAAGATACTGATCCCACACCGAGCTCCCCATCAAAAATTATTAGTATGGAGTTTCAGAATCATGTGCCCTAAAAGAGATGCACGACGTGCGTCGTGTAATACATATATATCTAGCTGTCTGACCATCAAGGTGCTGTCGACGACGACGTGTAGACGCCTCCATATTCTTCCGTGTATTAACAAAGGCTTTGGGCCTGCAATGTCGCTGTTTGGTCCCACATCTGCCAGCATGTTACTGTCGCGAGCCGTCCTTGGATGGGACGGTCGACGCTGTATAGAAGTAGAGCAGTACGGAGATATAAACAGAAGCAACAAGCTAAAGACAAATGTCAACACAAATTCTTTTCTGCTTGTTGTCTCCAAGGAAAATTCACGACTGACCTCTTTCCTTCTTCCTTGCGGCCAGCACTTCGTCCTTCATGGTCCTCGTTCCCGCCGTCAGGCACCGTTTCGCAATCATTGTCCACGATTTTGTACACCACGACAGCGAGGCGGTACCGCTCACCCCACCGCCTCACCGCGAAGATACACTGTCCTTCAGTAGCTCCGGTCCCCCATGACTTCCGTCCTCGTCATCCACGGGGACCGTACGCTCTAGCCGCGCTTGTCCCACGGAGACCGAGACCGGCCCACAACTTCTCAGCGACCCCGTCGTGGCCCTGCATGGCTTCATCGAAAGCGTGGCCCACACGAATCTGGTCGGCCGTCGAAAAGTGCGGAGGAGGGTAACGGAACTCACCGTGCCCAAGACGGTGGCCGCCAGAACCACTCGTGACACCCTCCCCGACTTAAGCTTGACGCCCTCGTCGAGCACCCGTAGGGCCTTGATCAGCTTTCCGGGCACGGTGAGCATCTCGGCGCGCTCGCACTTCGCTCAGCCGACGCACCTTTGGCTTGGGACCCACACAGCCGTCGGCCCTCCAGAACGCTTCGCTGAGGCGCTCGGCCTGCTCCTGCTCCTCAAGGTCCTTCGTCCACCGGGCGTATCTGTCCTCAGCGACTTGCTTAGGCGTGCGTCGGCCCTTGGAGGCCTCTCCCCACCGCATTAGGCGACTAGTAACGGCTAGCAAGACGGTCAAACCACTGGCAAGCACCACATCGTCGTTCCAGACGAATCCGCCGTCGACACCCAAATGCCCCTCCGCCAGTACGTAGTTCCCCAGCAGTAGTAGCGCCCCGACGCCGCAGCTTCCATAGAGAATCCATTCCACAAACTCGTACACGTAGACGGCCGTGTCCAGGCCGGCGTGGGCAAACAATCCCATTAGTGACGCGAAAGCACGGAAAACACAGCACGCACGGTCCATTGCTCGGTGACACTCCGCGCTGGAGCCAAACACAATACTTCACTGTAGACTTGCAGCTCAACTCGAGCACGTCGGGTAGGAACACGCACCACAAGGCGTGATAGGCCTCCAGCCAGCGGTGGGCAAGACGTCCCAACCCGTCCTCGCTTTCCGCCTCGTCCTCTAGCACCACCATCGGCGTCTGGAACAACGCCTCGTACAGCTTCCAGCGACGCACTGCAGGAGTCCTTTCCGCAATCCTCACGTAGTCGGCGAAGATCCGGTAGCGCCGGATGCAAGTCTTACACAGCCCGGTTCACTTGATCGCAAATTTCAATACAACGCCGACGATCCGCCCCACCACACACCACAACGGCTTGGTGATCATCCAGCCGACGGCGCCGCTCAGGGCCCAGAGCAATCCAGACCAGTGGCGGAAGGCTGCCGCCCACGCCATCTCTGTCCACGGATGACGCACGACGCTCCACTCAAACGCCCAGCAGACCCCGGCAAGCCAGACGCACCACTCCTTTGCCTCAGCGAGCAACTCAATCATCGTAGCGCAGCCCCGAACGCAGGGAGTCCGATCTTTGCGTAGTCGTGCGTACCAGCGCTAGGCCGGTCCAGATAGGCAGGAGCCATCAATCATCGTTAAAAGAACTCCATCACCGTCACTTCTCGGCGCTGGGGCGAGTCCACGCCGTAACCCACGATCCATCGTAGTCGGATCTGGGACCGTGCCGGGCCCTCGTCACAAACCGTCGATCACGGTGGACAAACCGTCTCCCCCACCAGCGCATCCGGCGTATCACTGAACCATTGACGGTCCCTGACTAGGTCAAGAACCATCAGCCAAGCGGTAAGATCCAGACTTTCTCGCATTTCCGCATTCGTTTCCTTCTCCTCACGCCGCCGCAGCTCTTCCCGCCTTCAACCATGACCAAGACCAAGGAATCCAGCAAGGATGTCGTCGACCGCCGTCTCCGCGCCCGCCTCGACAGCAAGGGCAAGCCGTCGGAGGAGGACATGTCCTGCGCGCCCAAGTGGACTTCTACGCCGAGCTCCGAGATCACCTGGCCGTCAACGAGGCCTCCTCGGGGCTGCAGGCAGTCGACGCCCTCGCCCTTATCGCGGATGACGACTCCCTACCGGCCACGCTGACGGAGGTCGTGACGCTGTTGCCGCCGCCCGGCTCCTTCGAAGACGGACAGCCCCCGACTCATGCTCTCTTTGCGCCGGAGCCCGACACGACCATCAAGCGTCCTGCCCCGCGCAACAAGGCCCAGTCGAAGCGTCCGGCCAAGAAGCGACGCACCACCGCGAACTCCCTGAAGTATTCCCTCGAGCTCCCCGTCGACGTGCCGGCCGCGATCCGTCGTGACGTGGATCGCCTTATCAAGGAGGCGGCAGGACGAGGGAAGACTCCTTTTCGGCTGGCGTATCCGTGGTCCGGGCAGCGAGCCTGGTACGACCCGCAAGAGCACCCGCTGCTTCATCTTCTGCACTGGCGCTTCTGGATGAAGCACCGCGCTACTTTCTTCATCTGCGCCCTCTACGCACCCACCGGCAACTCCGACGCACGCCGCAAGAAGAAGTCCGTCGCCGTGCAGGTCCGTTTGCGGCTCATCAGCGCGAACATCGAGGTGTTCGGCTACTACAGCTTCCTGGCCCAGCTGGAGGACAAGGCCCACGACACCCTGATGTGGTACGGGGGCAAGGCGGCCGCTCACTCGGTAGCGGCCAAGACTCAAGCCGCTCAAGTCGACCTGGCGACGTTCTACAAGAAGGATAGGGCTCTCTCCGACCGGACCATCGCCCGCGCTCTCGATCCGTTCTCCACCGACGAAGACGGCTTACTGTTCCGTTCCGGAGCTGCTGGAGCAGACCCAGGCGTAGACATCACTCGGAAGCCCCACCTCCGCCTCTCGGACGTCGCCCTGGGCCGCATCGCCATGGACGTTGCCAGCCGGTCGCCTCCC